ATGAATTCCTAGATGAAACTACGTGATTCCCTGTTATTGTAAGCTCTAACCTTCCTGGGAACAAAAAGAACAAACTAATGGAAACATTAAAAGTCCACCGTAAAGCTTTTCGGCGCTCCGGGGATGATATCAAGGCACAGGCCGATCCATATGCACCCACATATGTATTATGGCTTAATTATGTTCTAGTTTTTTGTGCATATACTTTTGTTGTTAACTTGATCATTCTGGCTCCTGTTAAGAGTAAAAATTGATATTATTTTAACTGTTAGTTGTGGTTGACATTTTTTCGAGGGTTGAAATATATGTATATAGAGTCTACCTAAGTGAGATAAAACCTCCGGAGTACCACGAATGATACTCACAGGACTAGTCATATAATAAGTTATTTAGTAGTCTGAATCTACCTCTAGCATTAAGATGTTGTATAAGATGGGTGGGGATTCCACAACTGACCATTTTTCTAGTGACACAATTCTTAAATAATCCAATCATGAAATTAATTGTTTCAATCATTTATTATATATTTTGGTATTTCGTATTTTTTGCTACACAGAGCACTATTTGGCAATTTTTAAAATTGTGCACTTGCGCTCTTTTGTTTCTTGCAATAGCAGTGCATCTTGAAATGCCATTTTCTTCATGTAATCACACCATATTGTGGAACCTAAAATTTTCTATTTAACTTTGTGTTCGCAATTATCGAATGACGTGTTCCATTAATTAACTAATATACATACATTTTTATGTAGGATGATGGTTGGTGTGAAAGGAAGGATTAAGAGAAGCAAGGAAAGAGTGTGAGTGTCATTTAAATTTTTTTAGGTGACTATCCTGATTGTACAGTAAAAAAGCAATGTTACACAATCTTTGTCATTGTTTTCTTCTTTCAAGCTTTCTTGTTGCTTTTTTAGCGTTACTTCTGACATATGGAGTGGTGGTGGCATCCATATTTTTACATTGGCCACTCCAGCGGATTGATTCCAGGTAGTAACCATCAAAGCCTTACAATATATCATATATCAATTCTATGATTTTCTTCAAATGATCTATGTCTCGAATGGCGGTGTGCATCACGATGAGACAAAGGACGGAAGTATTAACCTCTTTTTTAGAATATGTCTCGATTGCAGATTTTTCTTAGCTAGTAGTGCGAGTATACCATGTTGCATCCATCTCTTATTATATTAAAATTATATGCATATTTTGTGGTGTACTGTGCGCATAAATATTAATCAAATTACGAGCACTCATGAGCCATGTGAGAAGAAAAGAGATAAGTGAATGCATGTACTATTCACACATCCCTTGATTTTTTTTCTTATGGCGTATGCCATAAGTAGCCACATTTTGTGTTTGCATGTGCACGGAATGTAGCTTAAGAGCATTGCAATAGAACTGGTATATTTGGTGTTCTAAAATCAGTTTTAGCAATAAGAGAGCGAAGGTGAGAGATTTTTTTATCTACTCCACCAGCCTACAATTTTGTTATCTATACCTAAAAGGCTAAAACTCATTCTATATTTATTTGTACTGTGATCCTCCACTCCTAATAATTCCTATTTCCATACAGAACATTTTAGATCATGCATTACAGCACGTCACACATAATGTTTGGAGTTTGAATTAAAATAAATAATGAACATGCTGCTGGTTCTAAAACGACACAAATATGACATAAAGTTAACAATAATACTTCAATCTCATCGCCTAACTAAAACATTGAAAGCACAACTTATATACCCCTAATATAGGTTTTTGTGATTAAGGAGAAACCAATTGAGATAATGAACATTTTATGAGTTTATCTTAGGAAATTAGCCCATAAACTTTAGTGGAAACATCAATGTTGACCCGTACATCTATTTCTTCAAGTGGTTGTGTGCCTCAAGTTCTTAAAATACAATTTTATAGGCTTTTAGTGATTCCAGGATTCACATAGAGTGTAGAATAGTCATACTATCAAGAGGAGAAAAGCAAAGTATATGAGGTCGAACTCCAAGATAAGATCATCAACCAAAATTCTGAAATATTTCACACTAGCAAGTCAACTTTTTTTTGTTTCATTGCCGAGTTACTCTGAGTTTTTCCACGAACTACTAAGACTTTTAGGAGTGAGTAGGCCATGATGAGCGAACCATGTTTCCTATAGCTTCCCAACTGCACACAACTCTTTTTCGGAACCGCCGAACTATGTTTATTTTGACATCATCTCTATTAGTTTTGGCAGCTCTGACAATAACATTTTTCTCCGACATTTCCCAACCCTTCTCAGTTTGCTTCAACAGAGTCTCTTTATTGGATTGCTACTTCCAAGAAAATTCATCCAATACCTCCAAGATGGACTTTGGGTTTGCCTGCTAGATGGTGTCCTGCATCACCTTTCAGCGCCCCGCCCCAACAAATCTTCTCTCTCCTCTGGGTGGCAGATTAGACAGTGTGCTGCAGCAGTGACGCTGCGAGGTTCTGGTGGTGGAGGAGGCCGAAGAACAACACATCTCGGTACACCGGCCAAAAAATGAGACTTGAGAGCTCAATATGGGCACCCACTCCTGACCCAAACGGGAGGCACCAACGTTTCATAAGATGATAAAAAGAACCAGCAACACACAACAAAACCAAGTCACCACCCACCAACCAAACAACAAGTTAGGTACAGAGTTTACACACGACCTATGGGCCGTTCATGACACAAAGATATATAGAGTTGACAGACACATAAGTCAATAGAAAAGACAACAAGTTCAATTCGCGGGGTGTTTGTGATCCCCAACTTCCGAAGCAAGAATCGCCATGTGACTCCGTGTGCCTGACCAAATCCCAACACAACACAAATACTTTAGAGATACACACACGCCACTGTGCCTGGAATCTCATGATGTTATGCTCTTTTTCCGTTGATTACTACCACATACTAACCAAGGACGCGATCTGCTGCTCTAGCTGCACCAAAAGAAGAATATACTAATGATTACGACATGGTTTTACAAATCAGTCATTTTGCAAGGTAGTCTTTATCATATTCTGGTACTTGGCAGATATCAACTTTTTAAACATAATCTGGGAACATAAGGAACCGAGTTAGATGGCCAAAATGTTATGATAAGATTAAGAAAACAATATTCGACAGCCAAACGGGACCTTCAAAGATCACAACCTAAGTGCTCCAAAAACCAAACAATATATTGGCAGATAAATTTAAGCAGAAACTAGGAATAATATCAAGGTTCTTCTTTTTTATGTTGAATAATATACGACCAATCCAAATATTATCATAATAGCGTGAAACTGGAAGTCCAAGCCTAGATAGGTACATTACGTAAAGTGCTACCTGCATCAAAGTCTGGAGTTTGTTGCGCACGTCACAGAAATCACCCTTAAGAAGAGCCAATGCCATGAGGCATCTGAAACAATGCAAAAATACCACATTGTCAATTCTGAAGAGGTTGATCAAACTAAATTTAAATGGTAGAGCAATTGAAACCCTCTGTTTGGCCCAGCAAAAAAAAAAACTAGCTACCTCAAAACTTAGTTGCGCTATAAACATGAGTCTAGAGCCGACAAGTTACAAGAGAATAATCAAAGAGACATGTATTCAAATATAGAACTGAGTTCTATCAATCAGCTGATTCGAGACAAAGTGAAAAAGTAGGTTAGTTCTTAAGAATGTCATATTAGTATGAGCTAAAACTAGTGTCATAGAAGACGAAATAAGCTGGCAGGCTTGCATACATGATTTGACCAACACATATAGTAAAAAATCATTATTGTGCAACATAGAAAATGAGATACTGAGTACAAACCCTTTTTTGTTTTTTGCCACGTAGAACTTTTGGAAGTCCATGCAAGCGAGATTCACTTTCCTAGCACCAACACTGATACATGCCAAAAAGAGCAACATCAGAAAACTATAATGTTTTGAATCTTATTAAATGTTGTAGTATGTTGATACACATAAACATACATGGGTTGTCACAATAATATTCTCAAGGGGCCATTTTCTATCATGGTTGTCAACACAATAAATTGTTTGAAGAATCAGAAGAAGAAACATTGGCCTTACGGCATCAGTAGTGCCAGAGATATTTACAAAATGGCAAAGTTTTCATGGCCGAGCCAAACATTGGAATTGACATCGGTAGTTCCATTATAGAAAACACAACTAAATTCAGCTCTAATGGTTAAACAACACAATCCGCATTCCATGACGTACGCTCCCTGCACCGACACATCCGAATAAAAATAATGCCGATGCAGTGAATAAACTAAAAAAAAGGCACTTGGCATCATATATATATGTAGAGTAGCCGACCATAAATACCATAAATTAAATGTTTCTGTAACGACAAATTTTTATTGCTGGCCTAGAATATTGTCATTGGCGAATGGCAGATTTAGTAAGACTAGAATTGTTCGCAAGACGACAAAATTTTATTTGATGACCTAAGCATTGCCATAGACAGGAATATCGACAATTAGGTAACTGAAAACACAACTAAACTCAGCTCTTCTACTTATGTGCATACGATAGTCGACAACGACAGACATCTGCAATCCGAAGAGAAACATGGACACGCTAGAAAAAACCTCCATTGGCGTTACGCTGTCGCTGAATAGCACATGATTAATAAATATTACAAAGTTAATAACATTACTGTTGGCATGAATGTCAGTACTTCCGTTAGTACAAGAAACAGAACTAAGCTCATTTCTTCTAATTATCGCGACACGACACTGCAACTGTCATGATGGGCATGCCCGTGACAAACACATTTGAATCCATGCAGCCGAGAAACACAGAGACAGAGAGTTAAAAATGGACGGGGATATATAGAAAAGGAAGGGCTAATCATCATCATACGTGGAACTGCTCCCCTTGAGTTGCTGCACCAGGGCGTCCACCTTGCAGAAGTCCACCTCGTGCAGGGGCTGGTTCCTGCGGATGGGAAAGTAGAGGCAGAGCAAGTCAGTCAGTATCCGAGACAGAAGAGAAAGAGACAACAAGGCCACGGGCGTGGCGTGGGGGAGGTGACACGGACAGCAGGCCGTCGATGTCCGTGAGGATCCTGTCGCCGTCATTGAGGAAGATGTTGAGGACTTCGGCCACGTAGCCCGTGCCTGCACTGCTTTCGTCCAGCTCCTGCAGCTGCTGGAAATACGCGTCCACGGCACCCTAGATCGATCACGGCAATGAAACTGTCAGGGCTCAGGAGATGTCAGGGGACAGCCAGTCGAAACCCATCATGAGAGCAGAGAGCACGGCGGCTATAGAGGTGAGGGAAGGGACTGACCGTGGCGTACATGCTGGTGAGGTGGGCGTGCAGCTGGGCCCGGAGCTCGGTGATGGCCTCCATGGCTATGTTGGGTCGTCGAGATGAGGCGAGAGAGCACTTTCCGGGGGCGGAATTGGAAGCTGCTGCTCCGGTGGCGGAGTGGACGAGGACAGGAGAGGAGCGCGGTGGAATTCGCTTACTCTCTCACGGAGCGTTTTGGCAGCGAGTTCTCGGTTGCTCATTTACTCTACTGGCTGGCAGCGAGTCTGCTTCGAATTCGATTACACTACTGGCTGGCAGTGAATGTTCTAGTGCTCGATTAGTGTACTGGCTGGCAGCAATATTAATAAAGAGCTTGGAGATGGCGTGCATCGGTGCATGCATGCACTTACATTTGGGCGGATGCATGGATGGATGCTGCTGCATGTAGAAGATGACAGCGGGAGCCAGGCAGCAGCACGCGCCAGATGACTTTTCGTTTTTTCAACCACTCATTCTGCCCTTAGCACGGCCCCCGCTGGTCATTGAAAATTAAAAACCTAAATACACATGGGTGTTGTTTGTGCTAAAAAAACGAAATAAAGAATATATACTGGGAAAAACACGATTCCATCACGTCCATAAAGCTAGATCAATTAGCAGATTTACGTGAGGCATTTCTCATCTGCCACGATTGGTAATGCTCGCTAGTATATTTATCCTAGATTCTTTTGCAAAATCAATGGCAGGCTCCATATTAAAAGATTTGGGCAGCACTGGGCGTGGGCGTGCCGGCACAAAATTTGGGCCGGTCGGCTCCCAGCCTTCCGATCCTTTCAGTGTAGCCGTTCGATAAAGCAGTAGTGCCTTCTTCCTCCCGATACAGAAATATGCAGTAGTG